GGCCACCACCTGCCCTCTCCCCTGCTCCACCCCCTGTCTGGTCTATACCTCTCTGCTGCTGCTGGCTTGGTGTTTCTGGTTTCAAGCCTCCCATTGCTTTAGAGTAACTGTGCATTGCTTCTGTTAATTTTGGTATCTACAGATTTGTCCAGCTTCAGAACCCAAACTCTAATGACTGCCCTATATTACTGTGCTAGATTCTATCTCCAAAAGGTGTATTTAATGACTGGTCTAAAACCTCAGCTCTCAGTTTCTAGCAAACACCTTGAAGTAAAAGAAGGCTTGGCCCAGGAGTCAGGCAATGTGGGCTCTAGTCTTGGTTTTCCACTTAACTTATAGGTTTTTTATGTCCCCTGGGTCCCTCAGTCTCATTACCTGGATATGAGCGGATTGGATACAAAGAGCTCTGTGATCCCTTTTGACTTTCCTGAACTCAGCTATAGGTCAGCTGCAAGGTAGGGATCCTCCACGGGCCATTGAGAGCACCAAGCCTTCCAGCCCCAGTGCTGGGAATGACCTCAAAAGGGATCCCAGCGGGGTTCCTGGAAAACATTCCAGTTCTTTTAACACAGCTCACTCCATATCCCTCTGGAAAGACTACACAGTGCCTCGTCAAAGTCCTTCCAGTGGAAACTAGCGTGGATCGCTATTGCATTCTCCTTCCCAAGGTCCATTCCCTCTTCCTCTAGTAATGGCATCCTAGCTTTCCCTTAAGGAACTATCTTCTCTCTATTCCCAGTCCTCGAGGGTTGAGCTCCAGGGATAGGCTCATGAAAAGCTGGGCAAATAGCCTATTTTTCACCCCAGTGGTTGACTGATGATTGGACCAAGGACAAAAGGCAGACTCAAATCAAGACTTTGGCTGGAGATGCTGGTGGCCTTTTGGCCTCCTTATGAGAAGAGTTTGTTGGAATGAAGCAACACAGAGGGAATCAGAGCTGGGAGCTGAAGAGGGGATAATTGTTGAGAACATCATCTGAGCTTTCATGTAGGCATGAAAGCCTACACCTGGACTTTTTAGTTACCTGAGCGAATAAATCCACCCCCACTTTTTGTTGTTGTTGTTTAAATGAGTTTGAGTCGAATTAGGTGTCAGTAATGTGTTCTTTGAACTTTCTGCTTTTCTCATTCATGCATGCCCCTCTGTCAATGTTGCCAAATCCTAGCCAATTTTTTTTTTTTTTTTTTTTTTTTTTTGCGGTACGCGAGGCTCTCACTGCTGTGGCCTCTCCCGTTGCGGAGCACAGGCTCAGAGGCCATGGCTCACGGGCCCAGCCGCTCCACGGCATGTGGGATCTTCCTGGACCGGGGCACGAACCCGCGTCCCCTGCATCGGCAGGCGGACTCTCAACCACTGCGCCACCAGGGAAGCCCCCTAGCCATTTTTGATTAAAAGAAGAGGAAGGGGAGGAAGAGGAGAAAGAAGAAAAAGAAAAGGAGAAAGAAGGAGAAGGATAAGAAGAAGTTGTGAAATCTAAAAGCTGCATGAAAGGCAAGGTCTAATGTAGTGCTGGTAATTAGATAGCATTGTTGCCACCACTCCCTGCCCTGTACCCATCACAAATATCACTCATTTATAAGAATTCTTCTCAATGCAGAATTCTTGACAGCCATTGCCAATCGTTCGGAGTTGCCTCCACCTGAAATCTATTTTCCAACAAAGCTAAAGAGACCTACATCAGTACACTGGGACTGGGACTGGGAGATGGTTTAAACCAAAGCAGAGGATTAACTACCATGGCCTGTCTGGAGGACACTAGTTGATCACAAAGACAGAAGCAACTTTGATATACTGGCAAAATCCAACAGTGCTAATAGTTAGCCCTGAGCTACTGCCAGGGTCAGCCCTTGGGGAGGGGTCTCAGAGACAAAAGCATAGAGTTTGGTTAATTGGCCCCTGGAGCTGAAGCATGGGCAGGAGAGGTCTGGTGGGTGCCATCTTAACCCAGAGGGCTAGGCAGCCTCACATGGCAGCCTTGGGGGGGGCTCTGCCCTGGCCCACACCCAATGTCAACACATGATGGTGAGCCCCACCTACACGCCAACTGGCAACTCAGGGCTCCCAAGGCTGCCAGTTCTGAGCAGGTAACATTTTCTTGGGCATAAACCTCTGATAACAACAAGTGCTGGTTCTTTCTAAGTTGGCACATTTCTAATTCTGAAGCTGACGGATGCTTTTCTCACTCTCCCAGAACTCAAAATCAACTTGACATTTCTAAAATTACATTTTGAAGGCGATGAATCTATAAAGTGCAAATAGAAACATTCTGGCTCTCTCCCGTAAATGTGAATATTCTTTCTACATTAGCTGGGACAGGGGGAGTGGGGAAGGGAGACTTGCACCTCCGAAGGATGAAAGTGTTCAAGGAGCAGGTGCTCTCTGAATGTCCCTGAGAGTTCAGAGCAGCTTCACGACATAGGATGAAAATTAAGCAGAAGCAAGATTGGGCACGAAGAGGTGAGGCACCTTCGACTTCTAGACGAAGACAGCCCGGCCGCGAGGTGGGTCCCAGAGGAAGCCCCCTGGCTGGGCCGGCACACAGGACACTTAAAAGAGAATCAGGCAGGGCTTCCCTGGTGGCACAGTGGTTGAGAGTCCGCCTGCCAATGCGGGGGACACGGGTTCGTGCCCCGGTCCAGGAAGATCCCACATGCCACGGAGCAGCTGGGCCGTGAGCCATGGCCGCTGAGCCTGTGCGTCCGGAGCCTGTGCTCCGCAATGGGAGAGGCCACAACAGTGAGAGGCCCACGTACCGCTAAAAAAAAGAAAAAAAAAAAAGAGAATCAGGCGGCAGCTTCTTCTCCTTAAACTGGAGAGGTGTTCGAAGGGGCTTTGTGTGAGCCACGATGGAAACACACCTATCAAGAGGGATCAAGAGCCTGGCCGAGAGGACTGCAGATGGGACAGGGAATTGAATCTTTTTTTTTTTTTAACAAAAATGTAAAAATCCAGGGAGAAAATGCCTTTTTTTTTTTAAATTGTAGCAAAGGCTGTCCAATGACCACAATCCTCTTCTCCCCTTCACCCACAGATCAACCATAAAATGCAACCTGTTAGTATTTAAAGTGATCCATTCAACAGAAAAGAACCCCGCACCCCTTGCCCTCCGCCAACCAAGCTCCCTGGGCCTCCAGCCTGGACAGAGGGAGTCAGGCCCTCCTGCTTCAACGCCTTACAGTGGCTGCTGTGGGTTTTTACAGCTGCAAACAAATGTGACCCAGGATGAAACCATGAGGCCTTAATCAACATTCCACACAGGGCAGCTGCATTCAGCAATCATTAATCCAGTGCTTACAAGGTGCCTCCAGGGTGCTCATTAGTGGGGAGACAGAGAAGATTTGGGGAAATAGAGGCCTTGTTTTCTGGGATTGCAACACCCGGTGGTAGAGGCACATGCAGACAGCACAGGCCTTCTGAGGAGATGGGAGGCCAGGGACAGAGGTGAGAAGCAGTTCTCCAACGGAAAACTACGGGCTACACTTTGAGAGGTCCCTGTGGGGGAGACGGGGTCTGAGGAAGCTCCTGAGGGGTGGGTAGCATCGTGAAGGTGGCTGAGGGCACGGAGCCGGGCCATCCTGGGTAGAGTGTGCAGCAAACGCACAGGCCGAGAGAGAGGGAGGCTTAGGGGCACAGCAAGCCCTCCTGTGGTGTGGGGGCAGGGTAGTGAGCTGGGGCCCTGGGGAGGTACACCGATCTCCTCTAAGACCACGAATGCCAGGCTGAGGAATCTGCTAAATGAGATTCTAACGAAAGACACCCCTGTGGAAGGCCGTGCTGCTCCGGCCCGGAAGTGAGCTGAGCTGAACAAGCCACATACGCACCGCCGAGTCCCCGGTGCCATCTTACCTGCGTCTCCTTCTGCGCAGAGGAAGGAGCGCCTTCCGCAGGCTGGGCGCCAGGCTGGGCCTCCCCTGAGCTGGGCAGGCCCAGCGTCTCTGTGCACGTGGAGAAGTGGCCCCAGGAGACCCTTTAGGGGCTGGGGACTGAGGCTGCAGGCGCAGCAGACACCTCCCAGCCCAGCTGAGCTCGTAGAACCAAGGCCTTGCTAGTCCGTCATAGACTCCGCCCCGACTCAGTGAAAGGCGTGGAACACGGGCTTCTGCGGATGTGTGTGGCCTCTCAGCCCATTACCGGTGACACGGGCGTCAAGAAGAGGCAGCAGCCCTGGAGTCTCTGACAAAGGTGGATTATCTGAGTCGCTTATGTGCCCGCACGCAGAACTGCCGCCCTCACCCCTGCCCGCGCTGGCAGGAGTCCCCGCCCCTCCCCCACCGCCGGACCTGGGGGATGCATGGGTCCCGTCAGCAGCTTCATGCAGGTGGGACCCGTCCTTCTCCCCCGTCCCTCTCCAGCCTCTACTCCCACAGCACCTCCCCACTGAGTCCACACGACAGACTCATTTATTAACTTGACTTTGCATGTCAAATATCTTTTCCGTTTAATTAAAAAAACAAAACAGTTAATATCACAAGGGGCTCCAGAAATACATGCTTTTGAATTCCAGCCATGGAGAGGACTAAAGGAGAGCTGGGATCTGCAGGTGTGGCTGCATTCCGCAGAGGGATTTGTGCAGCCCCGACAAGCTCACTGCCCGTGAGAGAACCCACCGCACAGCAGGCAGGGGCCGCGGGACAGAGTCTTTGGTCGGCGGGAGCTTCACCCAGAGCTCTCCGGAAAGTGGCTCGGCAGGAAGAGGGTGTCTCCCTACAGCCCCCCGCTAAGGGGGGGCACGGGCAAGGGGGTACAAGAGGAGGCATTTAAGCCTCCCTAGCCTCCCGCTGCCTCTGAGGCTGTAGGCCACCTTATTTAAACCTAACAAAAAGTAGGTTTACGATTTGAACTTGGACCTTGTAGCAGCCCAGTGACACGTCGGCAGCCACGATGCAGTTGTGGGCAGGAAAACGGTGGGCCTGGAAACTGCTCCTAGACCACCCTGTATCGTCAGGTCCACATAGAGAACACACAGGAACCCTTTAGACCAAATAAAAGTAAATAATCATACCAATATAAACAGGGCCTTCGACCCTTTCATTTTATTAAAATGGCACGTAAATATTAAAACAGCATACTGATCGCTTCCTACATCTGCAAGCCCCCGGGGTGTGCTGATTTGGAGCCGCCTGTGGGCTCCTTCCTGGAGGCTGCAGACTCATGCATTCAGCAATTCATGTTCTTTGTCGGTTTTCCCAACAGCATCAGGATTTGATAATGGGTCGAGATCGGCGAAAAGGCTGAACCAGGCAGTCAGGTCCGAGGAGGGCTTGGCAGGCTCTGGGGAGAGAAGAGCAAACAGGAGCACACCTACCTTGCTCACTCCCACCTCTGCCAGGCTGCAGGCAGGTGGGTCCAGGTGCACCTTGAGGGAGGGCGCTCAATCCGACAAACCCCATTGCTCTTTGTCGCTAAGCCTGGTTAGGGTATTCCATGCCCCCCCGGTGGCCGGCTGGCTGAGCAACATTTTTAAACCATGGTCTTTACACAGTTCAACGCACAGTGATCCTTTGTGTTAACCCACACCTGCACCTCCTCCCAGCGATGGCCACTGCTCGCAGAGCTGCCTGAAACCCCAGGCCCCATGCTTCACCACCACCAGGAAATATCAGTCATTTCAGAAATCAGACTGAATGTCTCAAGCAAGGTGCTTCCTGGAGGAATCTTTTCAAATCTGCTGGGTTAAGAGAAACACCGTGTGTTACTCTTTTCAGCCTTCAAAGCAACAGGTCCGGAAGGGGGGATGGCACCTAGGCCTGGCTGCCCCTCTTCTCTCAAGGTCACTGCCTTCTTTAACCCTCTCCCATCAGAGGAAGGGGGCCTGTGACAGGCCTCCCCTTCCCCACTGGGCTCTAAATTGCCCCCATACCCCTTACACTCCAGCCTCAGTGGAACAGCCTTCAGCTGTCCTTTCACCGAACCACCTGCCCTAACTTCTTGAGTGCCACGATTACAGAGCCTAATTATTTTCCAGATGAGGAGAACATTTTCAAAAGAGTGCCTGATGCAAGTGATTTACAAATAAGTTGGGGGCTCCTCTCTATATAAATCATTCCACATGAGAATCTAAGTTCATTCGCTTGGATGACCCATGCTTTTTTTTCTTTCTACAACGGGTGGCAGTATCAAAAGCATAAAGTAAATGTCTCTCTGACAGGTTATCCTTCTAGCTGAGAGCAGCTAGGAATGTGCTTGCCATCTGGGTGAAAAGAGTCTCAAAAACTATTGGTAGCACAAGTTGCTAAAAGTGGTTATATGACAGTGATAGAGAATATTGATGGGATTATACCAACATACACAGGGCTTTTGATCTTTTCACTAAAAAGCACTGAAACATTAAGACAGTATACCGATCACTTTATACTTCTGATTCTCCTCCCTTTGTTTTTCAAAGTCTCTTGTGGATATATTATTTTATAATGAGATAATAATGCATCTATTACAGAGATAAGCTATTGCAAGCAAGACTAGTTAGTAACTGTGCAAGTTATTATTATGTAACATTAATTTCACAGTGTGTGCAGTTAGCCCCCAAAACACTTGGGTTATTTTGATATGATAAACTGAGACTTCAGAGATCTCAATACAGCTTGGCGGGAGTGGGGGAGACATCATTTTTTTTAAAAAAAGGGAGTAATTTCTCTTTCTTTAGCTATGTAGGAGGTCACACAAGGAAACTGTATGGGGCAAGATTGACTTAGGAGGATTAGTGTGTTCTTGATAGAGAATATCAAGATATCTTAGATAGGGAGGGTGCGAGGGAGGGAGGTGCAAGGGGGAAGAGATATGGGAACATATGTATATGTATAACTGATTCACTTTGTTATAAAGCAGAAACTAACACACCATTGTAAAGCAATTATACCCCAATAAAGATGTTAAAAAAATAAAAAAGAAAAAGAAAATAAAAAAAGATATCTTAGAGACAGCACCAGTGAAAACACCCTCCATGCTCACCTCCCCTTCCCAGCACCTTCCGATGGTGGGTGTGGCCCTGCTGTGAAGAGCCAGGTAACTATACCTCAGGGGCTTGGGGGTCCTCACATTCCCCAGACCTCCACTGTGGGAGGGAAAACCAGGTGCAACTATTTGCACAACACCCAAAAAACATCAAGGGAATGCTTTCTGATGATAATAAAACTGACACTTCCTTTAACTTCCTGTGGTCAACACAGGGAAAGTGGGTGATGACCAAAGAAAGACAGAGAGCTGCAAATACAGATGAGATCTTCCTCAGGCAGATGTTTTGTCTCAAAAGAACAGATTTCACAAGCTCGAAAGGCCCTCTTTTGACAATTAAGACACCTGGCTCTTCATGCAAAGCACTAACCAAATGCCTTGTCTGGTGGAAGCAATGGTATTTTCAGCTAAGGATCGCCAACCTCAGTGGCCTTTTCTCCCTTACTGTTGTCACCCAATCTTGGGGAGCACCCAGTCCCATGGAGATAGATGTTTGAGTCTTCCTCATTAGATGTGATAGAGGGAGTTATGAATTAGGACATTAAGCCAGGAAAAAAGTTAGAATGTTAGTTCCTAGGATCATGCCGAACTCTCCACCCATGCAGCCCCTCCTCTGAACCCAAGGTGCTCACATGGAAATTAGTAAAGAAATAAAGAGAAGGGTGTTAGGCCAGTGAAAGTGAAGGCAACTGTCATTTAAGGGGGGATAGAACACTGTATTACCTTTCACTGCAGGGCTACTGCCGTTTGGACTGCTTGCCTTTGGTGCTGGCCATGGAGGAGAAGTAGGATTGACATTGCTCTCTGACCAGCCTAATGTTCAAAACCAGAAGTTGTTAGATCTAGGGAAGGGCAGTTACACTGCCCCATCAGTTCCTGGGGCACACACATGGCTCTCAACTCTGATAGCCCTCAAAGAGAGAGAGGAGGGTGGTGTGCAAAGACCCTTCTCCCATGTTCCTCATACCCGGAATATGTTTTAGGGGAGAGTGGATATGTATAATCATGCCCACCTTAAGAGTATGGGAAACTAGGGGAAAGACTGCATTTTGAAAAGCAAATGAGAAATTGCTAAGGCTAAAGCATGTTTGCTTTCAGTTTTATACCCATTTTTCTTACCAAGTGACATCATTTCATGGTCACACCAAAGATTATCAATAGTGTTGCAAGGAAATCAAGTGCCTTGTTTTCCTGTCACAAATGAGGAAAGCTTAAAAAAGTGAATACCATTAAATGTAGCAACAGAACTAGGGAATGGCTGGTCTTCTCTACTTCCAATGTGATCCAGTTCCTTTATTTTCCGTACAGCTAATTTAAATTGGGAAGTTTAGCTAATACAGAGAAATAAATGGCAGTCCAGTCCAAATATACGAGGGGAAAGAACCTCCCCTTAACTTGATGTCGTACCCTTACAAATGACATTGATCTTGTCTAACCCACTGTTCTGAAAGGCCGCCCTGTGCTCTGCCTGCCCCTAATGATTAAGAGGCATTCAGCAGTCCTGCTTTGGGGGAAGCAAGCCTAGTTTCCCCCCAGTATTTACTGTCTGTGCTGGATGTTTCAGCATGACTCATTTAATTTAGAACTTTACCATATACTTCTTTTGCACGTCTGCTTTAATTCTTCACGTGGTAAGTCCTGTCTTCTCAATGAGACAGGGAACTGTTTCTTCAATGTGCTCCATAACACCTAATGTGGTACAGGTAGGTGTGTGTGGGTTAAGTCCATTGTTGATTCTCATTGTGAAACGTCAGATGAGGCACCACTGTTGGGTCCAAATGGTTAAAACTGTATCCTTTCACTGGGATGCTCTGGTCCCAGTGTTTCCTACAGAAAAGGTTTTGTCTCTGATAAGGCCCCCACGAGACATCACGTTTAGATGGCAGAGTTCAGCTGGGGCAGTGAAACCAAATTCTGAAGCAAGCAAGCCACTCAGTAGATGCCACAAAAATGATAAGATGTAATGCTGTTTGTTTCCCCTACCATTCTAAGATTTGTGATAAGGGACCTAATTATAGAATCATACTATATTGATTGGCTTGTACTTTTGTTTCATCTCCTAGAGTTCTGAGCCCCTTGAAGGCAGGGACCATGTATTATTCATCTTTACATCCTTTAGTGCACTACCTGGCACACGATGGGTGTTGAAATTAAGACAAACTATTGAAGAACTCTTTTAAATCACGAGAAGTATACTTACAAAGCTTTAAGAGATGGCAAGGCAATGCTTGCCGCAGTAGATGCTATAATATTCACTGGTTGATTATTTCATTTTAGGCAAGTAAACACAAACGTCTCTATGAAGACTAACCAATGACAAGTGAAACAGGTGGCCTGTGACCTATTTATTGGGTCTAAAATAATGAAAACATAGAGGGTTTAAAAAGTATTGTTATCCATTGGAAAGGTACTTGAACATGTTGTTAACATAATTCACAAACAACGAAAAGCACCAAATTTTAAAGGAACTTTTTGGGAAGATGGAAATGTTCTAACACTAGACTGTGGTGATGGCTGCACAAGAAAAATTTACCAGAAATCCTTGAACTGTTCTCTTACAATGGGTGAATTTCATAGTATGTAAATTATAGTTCAATAAAGCAGTTTTAAAAATGACCAGTATTGGGCTTCCCTGGTGGCGCAGTGGTTGAGAGTCCGCCTGCCGATGCAGGGGACACGGGTTCGTGCCCCGGTCCGGGAAGATCCCACATGCCGCGGAGCAGCTGGGCCTGTGAGCCATGGCCGCTGAGCCTGTGCGTCCGGAGCCTGTGCTCCGCAACGGGAGAGGCCACAACAGTGAGAGGCCCACGTACCGCAAAAAAAAAGAAAAAGACCAGTATTTGGTGTAATCCAGGAGTAACATAACCTCCCTGTTTCCTAGAAAATTGGCCCATGGGCATTTTCCTTCTACACCCAAATCACATAAATAGTGGTAAACGTAGAAAGTTAAAATTGGAGTTTTGTCATGTGCCAAATAAAGCTCAAAGAGGTAGCATCTAACTGGGTCAATTTTACCGTTTTCCCTACAATCCTCTTCTGGACACCAAATGTCAAGACCCACCTGTGCTCTGCAGAGCCTGTGTAACTTTTCATCAACGCCTGCAGCCTGGCCTCCATCTCTTAGGGCAGTGGTTCTCAAAGTATGGTGCCCGTGCCACTGGCAGGGGCATCACCCACTGAATCAGAATTGCTGGGGATGGAGCCCAGGGAAGCACAAACCCTTGGCAGGTGTCATGCAGTGTAGTGTGAGAGGCCCTGCCACAGATGGTCTCCAAGGAGCTGCCACGGTCGCCATCTCTGTCAGGATCAGGGTCATCTTGGTTGAAGTCAGAGCCGGGACAAGGAGAGAGACCCTCCTCGGAAACCGAGAGGTCTGCTTTCAGGACCCCGCCTCCCAGGTCCTGGAGCTTTAAGCTCCTTGACCTCGTCAAGCTCTCTGAGTTCAGGGAGGCCCACACTTCCCGAAAGATCCTGAACAGATGCAGAGAAAAGGCAGGTAAGGGGTATGGAAGTCCACCGCTCCCGGATCTCTGAATGCTATTTGAAACAGTGGGGACACGAGAAAATTCTTACCATTTCAAAAATATGCACAACGTTTGTTTTTTAAAGTGGTGGTAGAGAATGCTGGAAAAGCGGTGGTTCAACCACTGTCTTTTTCAGAGTATAAAGTGGAACACTTTCCTACAGGAGGCAGAAATAAAGCCACATACCAAAACGGAGCTCTCCTCACTTTATGTGATGGGCATGTTCCCAAATGGCTATAAACAAATAAAATGACTGTATATCAAGTCATATTTTTAAAGCACCAGAAATACAAGTTGTATTTTTAAGCCTATAATTTAAAGGATTATAATAGCAGACTCCTTTGTAAAGACAATGTCTTCTAATTGGATTCCTTTGTAACTATGGATTTTTGAATATTGCTCATCTAAACGCTCATGAACATGTGGAAGTGATATGTGGAGTGTGACATGTGGAATCTATGGGTTTGGGGGCTTCTCTGCAGCAGAGGACGTGGAGAAAGGATGAGGGTAAAGACATCCCCCTTTGGGGACTAAGATGATGGGGAAAGTATACCTCAAAGTTTCGCATCACTATTCCCTTGTCCCATAATGTGAAGCAGAAACAGCAGCCAGTTTGCCAAATCACAATCTCTCCTCAGAACAGCTATTAAGCATAAGTCTAACAATCCAACTATACGCACATGAGGGGAGAAAATGCTACAGTTGTGACACCAGCTCTATACATATATTTTAAGCAAATACTAAACTGAGCTGCAGTTTCACCCTCACTCATAACACTTTGGGAATTATTTAGGGGAGGGGTGCAACTAGGGTAATTATGTATGGAACGCCAAGCCAGACTTCAAAGGTCTTGGCTTCTATCAGGAAAAAAAATGCTATTTAACGAGAACTTACTGTTGCTAATATTCCTGTAATTGCCTTCAACTGTTCTCTAGTTGGTATTAATTAGTTGGCTGAGGCGTTTTTAACAGGAAGGTGTGGCTGGAAAGATGTCTCTCCATCTCAGAGAAATTGTGTCAGGAGATGGGTGGTGAAGAGAGGAGGCAGGAGAAGCTGAGAGCTCTGTGAACAAGATGCCGGGCCTAGCCGTCGGCTCCTGTGATATGTCAACTGTGCTACCCGTTTGCAGGAAACATATAAAATTTTATTGGAGCAATCCTGCCCCGCTTTACTTACATAAGGGAAAATATAAATCAGCCAGAAATAACACCGGCCAGCTAGAGCAGCAAGTAAAGCCAAAATAATACCACCCAGAGCAGCACTTCACCATGAATGTAATATTTCACTAACCGGGAAAGCAAAAGCCCAGGCTGGGTTGACGAGCACAGCCCAGGGCGCTCTGGGGTGGGGTTGGCCATGAAGGGGAAAGTGGGAAGACCATGGTCTTGGTGGCCTAGCACCAGCCTGCTGTCCACACCTTCTCTGAGCCCCGGTTTCCATACCTGCAAAGGGTGGATAAAAATTCCTGCCTCATTAGGTTGTTGTATGGATAAAATGGGATCCTGGTGGTGAAACGAGGGAATACAGAGGCTGTAAAGAGCAGGCCCTCAATAAATCTAAGTTGAATCTCGATTTCTGAATAAGTCAGCAGACATGAGAACCAACCCCTGAGATTGTCTTAGGACTGTTTTCTTTCCTATTAGTGATTCAATGTCAGTTGATCTCTCCCTTCCTTCTTGCCTGCCATCCATCCATCCATCTACCCATCCATCCAGATGTCTCTGTCGAACATCTCTTCTAGGCACTGAGCTATGATCGGGAAATATGATGTTAAGCAACACAAACATGGGCCCTGCCCATGACGACCTAAAGCAGACAAAAAATTAAATCAATTTTACAATGAGGTGAAATAAGAGGAATGATTAAGTACTGGGTGTAAAGGGAATGCAGAGCAGAAACACCTAACACTGACTACAGGGGAAGTCCCTGGAGGAAATGACACTGAACAGGAGAACCTGAAGGATGAGAAGTTAGCCAAGCAGAACAAGCAGAACATGAAGGTGGGTGGAGTGCTCCGAGAGGAGGGGAGGGTCAGACTCCCTGGAGTCCAGCTTACAGATGTAATAAATACATGGTTCTCCAGCTGAACAAGGTCATTGAGTCATACTAAGTAAAGGCGTGGGGGGTATGGGCAGTGATGAGAACGGGGCAGGCCTTAAAGGACTCTGTAAGCCAAGCTGAGGAGTTTAGACCTTATGTGAATGGTGGATAAAACCACAACAGCTTGGCAAGTCATGAGACCTTTCTTGGGTCCCTTGATTTCCTCATCTATAAAGTGACGGTAGAGTAGACGGTCACCAAGTTTCCTTCTGTGGACTAACGGAGGCACTTAAATTCTGCAGATACCCAAGACCTGGGGATGTGCCCAGCAGGCTTAGAAAGTGCTGCTTCTTTGATGGAACAAACAACGCCAATGGCTCACGCTCTGTGTTCAGGTTATCTTTAAATGTGGCCCAGCAGCCTCTTCTTTCACATTATTCCATTTGAGTCCTGGAAATATGTTAGCCTGGAGCAAGGCTAAGCCAGAAACAGCAAGAGGAGAGCTCTGGTTGAGGAAAGGTGACTCTAAGAGAATGATCACGCTAAGCTTTCCATTACACTGGCTTTAAATGGAAACCCACCCAGATGGCAATAGCACCTCGGAATTAGGTAAAACAAAAGGATATCCAGAAGGAACAAAGGGCTGTATGTTTGTGAGAATCTGGAACAAGACCCCTAACTTTGGTTTGCAGAATCCTAAATTAAAAGATGTCCTGGTGCACTTATTTTGAGGAGATGGTTATCTTTTCAGTATCAGCGTCTGTTTCTAAATTAAATTTTGGATGTTGGTGGGGAATTAAGAAGAATGTTTAATGAGGCCCGTCAGCCTTGCCGGGTCTCTACCTCAGGCAGCCCCTCTGGCTGGCCCTCTTCCTACTCACTTTAAGAGGCCTCAGGAAGGTACAATTTTCTCATCACTGTATGACACAGAAAACCCCAGCCCCTATCATGCTGGCAACTTCAGAAACCCTTAGAAAGTCTAGCTAAAATTAACTCCTTAAAATTTTTAAGCACAACTTGATCCTAAATGTAAGTTCCTCTGTTTTGCTCTCCTAGAGGCTGAAGTAGGTGGGGGAAGGAAGATATCGTTGTTCTCTTACTAAATCCCCCTTCCTTTCTACTTCCCCAGAGCAAAGGAGAAGAGTGAGGACACAGGCCAAAGAGGAGAGGAAGGCAGAGGAGAGCAGAGAGATAAGGAGGCGAGAAGACTGAAGAGGTGGAGGAGGGAGGGGGAGGGAGGGGGTTTGGAGTGCGGAAGGGAGCTGAGGTATCTGCAGCTGTGGCCTGGAGCCACCCACCTCTGTCCTCTGAACACTGCCCGTGAGGATACAGCTCTGCCTGGACCTTACAAAGAGCTACAAAGGTGGTGGAGAGACTGAGCTAGACAGCACTACAGTGAATGAGGGGGCGATGGCTAGCACAGGCGAAGATTTTTGTAGACAATCTCGATTTCACATATTCTATTCTGGAATGTCACCCAACTTTTGTGGTTGACACAACCCTGCCTTCCCACACCCACATGCCTCCTGCACGACTGCGTGGTTCCCCCCCCCCCCCGTCCCTGTGCACACCCAGGATGCCCAGAGCCAGGAAAACAGTCTTTATAAGCCCTGCTCCTCCAGAAGCACCCAAGGCAAGGCCTGAGGGAGCCCGTCCGGGAATCGCGTTTGCCGTCAGAGACATGGTACTTGGAGGCAACAGAACAGAATGGGGAAAGGCATGGATTCCGGAGTCTGGAGGCTCAGGCCCACAATCTGGCCTGCCTCCTACCAAGAGGTATGATCTCGGGCAAATTACTTACTGCCCTGTTCCTCAGTTTCCCAGGCTGTAAGCTGGAGATGATGCCAGTACCTGCCTGGGAAGGGTGTGGTGAGGATGAAGTAAGTTAACACACGTAAAGCACATGGGAGTGCTTGGCCCACAGCGCATGCCATAGGGAGTGCTGGTTCTTATTATTTTACCACGATAAAGGGCAAAGTCACAGAATCAAACAGTTTTAGACCACAGCATCTCTGAAGTAGGGGTTAACCCAGGGATAAGAAGATGACATTTGTGGAAAAGTAAAAAGCTCCTTCAGATGACTTGGGTCTCTGCTGATAGATTATTTAGTGAGTCTAATACCTCGTATTACAGATGAGAGGGCAAAGGCCCAGAGAATGAGTAGCCTGACCAATTGCTGCAAAGTGAGTGCAGGGAAGGGAGTTTACAGAAATAAAACCCAGGCTCTGAACTCCCTACCACTGTTTGCCTTGCTGAGCCAATATGCCAATGAGCCTTCCTACTCCACGTTTAGTTTGACTACTTACTTATATCAGTGGTTTATTTGATTTAGTTTTTGAGATGATCTGGATAATCAGGGGAAGTAGTTTCAATATGAGGTGTCAAAAGTTTAATAATTATTTAGATTCTTTTGCAATTCATGTGTATAGATGGATTTTCTAGACCATGGATGCAATGGAAAAAAATCTAGAGCCAACACCCACCTTTTGCTCTTTTTTTAGGAGGTTGGAGGGAGTCCTGACAAAAGCACAGAATACGGTTATAACTGGATTACATGATCAATCATCAAAGCAGGGAGCCCACTCTTTATCTGTACACGTGTTTTGAAGGTTTTCTGAATCAGAGGGCATCACTGTGGCAGAATTGTTGGGGCTGCCTGCTGGTAACCTGTAGGTTATAGAAGCTGAATGGGCTTCTATATGGGCTTCTATATGGGCTTCTGAATGGGCTTCTAACCTGTAGGTATAGAAGCTGAATGGGCTTCCCCTTTAAAACACTGAAGTTCACTTTTCTTTCTGTCATTTTGAGTTCCATAGACATTCAATTTACGGCTGTTGGCATGCAAAGGAAACAGGATAACTCAGAGGTTACAAAAATAACTCCTTTAACATTGATCTTGGTAGAACCCCAGCAGAGGAAAGGAAACTTTTAGCAGCCAGAATGGTCCCTTTATGGTAAATCAGATCATGTCCATCCTCGGTCCAAGATGCTGTGATGGTTCCAAGTTCTTCCAAAGGCTATGAGGCCCTATGTGGCCCTACCCGTCTCCTCTCCAACTGCCTCCCTCTCTCACTCCAACCCCGGTGCTTCTCCTGCAGACCCTCGACCATACCTGATCTACCCTGCTGTTCCCCCAACACTATCTCTGGCTCTACTTTTTCCTTTTCTCCACATCGTTGGTCACTTTCTAAGCTACAATGTAATTTTATTATGTTTACTGTTCATTATCTCCTCTTCATTAGAATGTGAGTTCCAGGAAGGCAGAAGCCTTGTCTGTTTTGTTCTCAGGTGAATCACCAGTGCCTGGCGCCCAGAGGACTCAATAAATATTCGCTGGACAAATGAGAAACTTGCTAAAGTGCTACTGGGGTGGTAACCTCCACTGAGACTCTGTTTGCCTGAGAAATAAATGGCCTCGCTTTGAAGTACCTCTTTCTCTTTCCATAGCGCGAGCTTGCATCTCTCTTGCCGTCAGATCACCTCCTTCCCTCCTTAGACCCAAGTGTGGTCGTGTGCCTTTCTCCTGGCCATGGGGCAAGGCTGAAGTGCAAAGCCCACAGCCACCACACTTGTCCTAGCTCTCAGGCGGAGTTCTGGGGATAGCGCCCTGGGCCTGAGCTAGGATCTTCTTGCTCTACATGCTCAGGAAGAGGGTATGTGGCTCTGACTTCTCAGTGTCAGCCTGGGGTGCTCACAATAGAGTGACACTTGGCCATACCAGAGAGGGAGAAGCACTGCCACCACTGCTCCTGGGCAGCAGCAGGGGCCCTGGTGTCTCCAAAGCTGGGGGCGCCAGGGGGATTCATCCTCCAGCACATCTGGAGAGTCTCCAGCAGCCCCCAGCTCTGAGCTGTGGATCCCACTCCGGCCCCTGACTCTCCCACGCCTTGTTAGTGCCTCTGCCACAGGTGGGTGGTGGTGAAACCCAGTCTTTGTCAGCCTTGCTCATCTGAGGTCCCAGCAAAAGAGGTGGTGAAACCCAAGGGTGAAAGTTGGGGCAGAGATGTAGTTTTGGATTGCAGTTATCCCTCCTATCTCTAACTCCATTACTGAGAATAAATGAGATGGCTACAAAATAGGACTCAATAAGGACGATGAAAGGAATCATGTATTTCATAAAAAAGAGAGAAGACTTTTCTTTTGGTCTTGCCTACCAACTCTTGTCATGTCCGTGATCTCATCTCCAAAGACCTGAGGTGTTTTTTTGTTTTTTTTAATTTAATAGCCCACAATTACTTAATCATTCCAGCTCTGCCACTTGTTCTCAGCTTTAAGAGCCAGATAAACACGTTGTTTATTAAAGGAGATAGCCTAAATTCATGGAAAAACCAAAACAATTTGAGAATTTCTTAACAGTGATTCCTGTCTTACAATTAAAGCATGAAAGGAGGAAAAAAAGTGTTGAACTACTAAAATGGTTTCCTCCTCAAGGTTTGTTTAGAAACTCAAACTTCAAAATTTAAATTTCAACCTGAGTGTTAGTTTTTGCACTTGAAATCAATGTGCTCCCCACGTAAGCAATTCTTAACCAGTATGTGGGCTGCTGGTGAGCCTCGGAGTACCTTAAACCCTTACCAATGCTGCCGATCACTTTTGATCAGCGTGAAAACTCTACTTCTGCCGTGGTCGGGCTTCAGGGGACTGTTGGGCCATGTGTTTCAGGCAGAACAGGAACAGCTGAGCTGAGGGCATACTCAGGGTACTGGTAAGCCCAGATGGAGAGGGAAAAAGCACCCAGAAAGCTCCGTGTCTACGGGAACGTGGAGAATGTTGCCTCAGGAGTATGTGGGAGAACTCAGCTAGGGTGAGTGCCAGGAAGAGACAGCAAAGTCAACAAGCCACAACCGTGAAGGCAATCTGACCCCTCAAGGGTGCCATGAAAACGTCTAAAATCAAAGTAAGACAGTAAGACTGAGAACCACCCCTCTAGCCTTTGATTAATAGGAAATGTTAACAGGAGGAGAAAATTATGAAAAGAAATAGATTTTAAACCCTAATACATATCTTAAAGCTGGAACGTGATTCTGAAATTTGAGCTAAAGAGTCACTGAATATAAAAGGAAAATTTAAAAACAAACAAACAAAAAAGATACCGGCTATATTTTATCTTATAAAACACCAGTTTTATAAGATAAAACTCAGAAAACATTAAAAAAAGATAAGGAAAAATAGGCCACTGGATTTCAAAAAACAAAAAATGAACCAACAAAAAAAACCATTTCAATCCCTGTGGTACATACCTTCCAGTGAGGCCTGTAAGTCTTTCATATTTTGATCTAGAAGCTGTGAAGGAAGGAATCCTGAGCCTGTCTGGGGCTTGGGGTCTGGCTCTCCTGGGGCCGCAGTGGGTGCTGGCTCCTTCACCCGACTGTCTCCAAACACAGCAGCCCACTCTTTGCTGAACTCGCCCTCTTCCAGGGAGGAAGCGTTGAAGATTTCACTCAACAGCAGCAGGTCATCTTTGTCAGCACCTTCAGGTTCCAGGGTCCCTGCCATTGGGCCCAGGCAAGCTGATCAAAGCAACAGAACACGAAACATATCACCACCAAGGGCCCAGGCCCTAGGGAATAAATGTAGTGGGGGTTGGGATGGGACAGACCAGGTGATGGCTAGATTTTTTAAAAAGTTAATCAAAATATAAATTAATTCCCTTACAACCTCTCAAGAAATTTTGGAATTAAATTTCTAGTCCCACTGAAACCAAGCAATAATACCCTGTGAGGACTTCCTGGGGACAGTCCCACTGCCCATGTCCCCTGCCTCTTGTTCGTATAAAAGCTTTAGTCTCCTAGGCCTTCCCAGATTTCGAAAGAGCAAATTTAATCAGAGAAGTAAAAAAACAAAAACAAAAACAAAGGAACACAGTCAAACAAGAGAAAATAATAATAGCTGAGCCATAAAACAAAGTCAAAGACCTTTAGTTTCTCCTCAAGGGTTATAGATAATATCCTGAGCCATATCCTTGAGTTGTTTTACAGATACTAAAACCCCCACCCAGTGGAGGAAGTTAACTGCATGGTGACCACCAGCATGTAGACAGGTTGGAACCAGAAGGTTGATGACTGACAGTCCTGTAACATCACCTTGTTACCTTACCATCAACCAATCAGAGAAGTGTATGAGTTGATCAGACACCCTGCAAGCCACACCCCTAAGCTTGCCTTGAAAACCCTTTCACTAAAAGCCATCGTGGAGTTCTGGTCTTTTGAGCATGAGCTGCCCGTCCTCCTTGCTTGGCTCTACAATAAATGCTGTACTCTCCTTCACCACAACCTGGTGTCAGTAAATTGGCTTTGCTGCTAGTTGGGCAAGTGGACCCTTGTTTAGTTCTCACTCATTCTCTTTCCTTCAAAGCAAGTCCAGTTTCTGAGCCATTAGAATTGCATTGAAATAGTTTCCACAAAATTCTAGAGTGTTGGTTTCTCCTTAGTATAAAAGCACATTTACCACCAATACATTTCTCAGACATGAAACAAAGCCAGGATTGAAGGCATGTTGGAGATCTTAGTTCCTTGTTTGTATAGCTTCCCAAATCTTCCCATACAAGCCCCAAATTCACAACCAACACACCATGTGGCAGCCTGCCCTGCCAACCAGGATGAGAAGGGGAGCCTCACCATGCCCAAACTGACCCAGGGAAATGGGAGCAGAGGTATCAGGAAGTCTAACAATGACCAAGAAAGACATCCTTGCTTCCTGTCTCATTTGTGGCACCCCAAGTGCATAAAACAAAGGAAAAGCGGGTCTGGTTTGCCTGAGGGCAGCGGTGAAAGAATGACAGGAAAACAGGGCAAATCACACACGGAACCACTAGAGAATGAGCTTCACAGACCAAAGACACAGCCCTGGAGGGTTGGAGTGAGCACTGGACCAAAGGAGGAGCCCCTGGACCTTCCTTTACTTGCTGTGTGACTTTGGCAAGACCCTTAACCCCTCTGGGCCTCTGTTTTATCATCTATAAAATTTTATTAATAATGCCCACTTGAATATCATCAGGACGATCAAAAGAAATACAACTGAAACCTCATTGCCAGTCCAGAAGGAAGACTTTTGAGATTCATTCTTAGAATATGAACAGTGACAAACTACTAAATAGTGAGTACAAGTAGAATGGGGGCATTACTATCACAAATCCTATAACCTTTCATTGAGTTTTCTACATATTTTGAAAACCAAGAATTGATTTTTTTAAACTCTGGCTTTGTTATGGTGTCTAACTGCTACTTGGAAACTACAAACATTTTTGTTGTTAAGTCATGAAGAGAGGGAACAATCATGATTTACATTTTCTCTGAGCTAGATGGTAATGCTGACACTGTCATATTAAGTGAGGTGAACAGGTTTCCCTCAAATATATGAGATAATTTTTAAAAAGCCTTCACATGAATTAGATAAAGCTCTTATATCTCTGTCGGCTTTACTGGATCTATTTTCAACTATACTTTATAGAAAGATCTATGATAGAGGGGATTTTGGATGTGCTGTGCAGACTGGCTATCCATCAGGGAGGGGAGGGGTCCAGGCATGCTCATATCACTGTGGTTTAAAAATAGTGGCGAAATACCACCTTAATTGGACAGCTGTCTAATTTAAGCATTCTTCTTGTTTGTGTTATCACAGAGGTTTGCACTAAGATATAGCCTGTAGGTGTGGTGGTGAGAAGATTGGGAAAATGGCATTTTACTAAACAAGCTTCTGAGACAGTTCTGTAGTGACAGAGTAGTGCAGGAACCACTTAGGCCTGTGTGTGGTAGGGAAGGCAGGGCAGGAGAGGTGAGGCAGCTCACCGCTGTGAACAAAGGAAGGAACCTCAGCTGTGACAGGGTGTGTCCATCAACATGCATTTGGGTGTCCTTCCTCCCTCCCCCTCAGTCTCTCTCAGCATCACCCTTTTTACATCTATTAACTTCACAAATCTCTGTACTTCCTACTTTCAGTTGGGTCCTGAGTGCCCAAATCTTTTCTCATGGTTTACTTTCTGGCCTGACTGAAACCAGATGATTGCTGAACCAAACTCCTTTTATTGGAAACAATTCAAGTCGATGTACAGACCCTAGAGAAACAGATGACTTTAAAGGACCATTGAAAATTATGTGCATTCCTCCCAAAGTCACTTTACAGCTCTCCACTGAGTCAAAGCCTGGGGGAGCCTTCGTTGCTTTCATCTACATGTCAATCCAGGGAAAATCACAACCAACATTAGCAACTACAAATAATAAACCTTGAGAGCCTTTCAAAAATAACCACAGACTGGAAGAGCTCTTTGTGTTTACTGTTTAGGTTTTGTGCGATGGTATTTAGAGTAGACCTCTTTGGGTTTTGCTAACTTAGCATCCCTTTCTTCCTCCTCTTTAGTTTCCCTTCGGGGAGACACCTTCTCCTCTGATCCTGGTGAGATACCACTTAAGATGCCTCACCACCTCATCCCAGGTGGATGTGTGACCTAGGCTGGCCAGAGTCTTTCATTTCTCAGTGCATGGTGACTGGCTCAGGGATGGGCTTCCCTGAGTTTGGAATATGGAAGCTGGAAGGAAAAGGGGCTCTCTTCTTTGGGATTCTAAGTTCTAAAGATGCAGAACTGAAGCTCCCAGTGATGATGGAGCCAAACAGGGAGGGAAGAGTCAGAAACAGAATCCTGACCACACTGTTTAAGCCCTTGGATACAGCCTTGCTTAAAGTCAATCCACCTAAGTTACATGGACCAATATCCATACATTCTTTTATTCTCTTTTAATTTTAAAGCTAAACTATTTAGAGAAGGATTTCTATTACTTCCAACCAAATGATTCCCAACTAATAATCTATCCTATCCAACTCAGATTTAGTGACTGAAATAAGAAAAGGACCCACGGGGAGGATGATACTGTCCAGAGCTAGTTCTGAATTGAGATTTAGTCTAAGGTCTACCATTGAATGTGGTCTATTACTTAGTGTCCTGGTTATTTAACAGTTAAAGCAGGCTGCACTGTGGATATTTTCTCTTTTAAGAAAACTTGTTAGCTGAAAGCAATGACACTGACACTGACTTGAACCTGAAAACAGGGAAACCTCCTAATTATTGCCCTGATAATTAAGATGCTTGAAATTACTGTACATAACTTGTAAGAAGATCACAAGTGAAAAAGGACAGGTTTAGGTCTGTAACCAGACAAGTCAAGACTTGAAAAATAACACTAGTCAGTTGGCTCTTAAGAATCATGCTATCATTTTCTCTGGAAATAATTCAACTCAACTGTGAGAATATGAGGACACACAGAGATACGATAAGCTCTTTGAGAGAAGCCTGGTGAGAGTTACAACTGGAGTCACAGCCTCCACCGTGTACATGAGCAAGCGTTGCTCCTGGGTTACGGAGCCCCACCCTGCCTTTGTCTTAAAGAATGAACAAAGAGATTGCAGGGGCCAAATCCACAGATACTCCTTCCAGCCCCCTTCATGCCCTTGCTGGTTCTCAAGTCTCCATGTTTACTTTCCTATCAGTAACCCAACCGCAGATAGTACTACAAAAATAAAGGGCAACACAGGTGACATACTCAAATTCTCACTGCTTGGCCTCCAGCTCTACGACCCTTCATGCACTCCCTCATCCTTTGCAAAATTAGCCCTCCCTATGCTCTCCCCATGCTTGTGGGAGCCTGCTCTGCTCCCAGTATTATTCCAACATCAGCATCTGTAATTGTTCATTCTCCAAGGCTTCCTCTCCCTGACCTCAGGTGTGTGCACAGCCAACAATGTCAATCTTCACTTGATGGTGCTGTCTCTCCCCACACACCCCCTGTCAACTCACTGTCCTAGTTTCTTCTTTCTTCTACAGCCACACACTCTACTTTGTCACCACTCTTTTTGGGGCTGTCTGTAATCAATTTCCTGCCCCCACCTACACTGAAGTGGCCCTCTTGAAGGTTAACAGAGAGATCCTCATGGCAGATTCCAAGCCCCCTTTCTCAGGCTTTGACCTCTGTAGCACTTTGCACTAATGCCCGCTCTGGAAATGCTGTCATCTCCTGTGAGTCCCCATCAAGTGGCTCTCTTGGATGTCCTCCTATCTCCTTGATAATACTTTCCCTGCTGCCTCTTCCTATTCTGGTTGCCCTTAAGATTTCTTCCTAAGCCATCATCTCTCTCTTCCCTACATTCTCTACATAGAAGATCTCATTTGTTCTCATGGTTCCAGCGTTGCTTGGGAGCATTCTCAAATCTCCATCTCCAACTCCAACTTCTTTCTTGAACTTGGATGACAAATTCCTACCTGGGGGCCCTTAGGGGTTTGCCCATTGGCGAACCTGCTGGCGCTCCATAAAAGGCACCCTCCTGTTGTATACCTTTGCTTAATTCAGCTGTGAGGTTATGACTCCCTTCCTCAAAAACCTTCAGTGGCCCCCTCTGAGTCCTGAGTGAAGTAACACTCCTTATGGTGGGTTCAGGACCACTACAGTCAAGCTTTAAGGCAGCTCTTTCAGCAGCTAGCTGACACTGCCTTCAGGGAAGCCTACGATTCAGCAAAACTCCT